TCACGGAGTTTGCTTACAAACACCAATCAGTTCATAGATGTCCAAAACTTGTAACTTATGCACGGAGTTTGTGTGTGAGAAGAAACATAGACGTGACTGAATGTTTGCTAAACTAAATTCCAAAACTTGTAACTTATGCACAAAGTTGTGTGAATGCTTACTAAACTTATTTACACTGAAAATATCATAATATCATTTGCTAAACTTAAAACTGCAGTACAAACACCAATCAATTCAGTTATTTACTCTTAAGATCATAGATGCCCAAAACTTGTAACCTATGCACGGAGTTTGTGTGTGTGAACACCCAAATCTTGTAACCTTGTGTGAGGGAACGCTTACTTATTTTCCCTGACAAGAATAATACTTGTAACCTATAGACGTGTGTTGTGTGTGAGAATGCTTACTAAACATACTTGGGCTGCCGTCAATAGAAATCAAGCAGTGCATTAGGTTACAAATTTTGGACATCTAATGAAATTATACTGCAGATTTTTTCCCAAATGGATAAAGTTTAGCATATGATCTTATCAAAGCAAATAAGTAGGTTTAGAAGCGCATCTTAATTGAGTAAGTAAGCTTCTCACACACAAACTCCGTGCAAATTTTTCCCAAACGGATAAAGTTTATTGATCTTATCAGAGTAAATAAGAAGTATTCTCATAGGTTACAAGGTTTGGACATTTATTAAATTGGTTGCAGATTTTTTCCCAATTGAATTAAGTAAGCGTTCTCGTTCTCACACACAAACTTCGTACATAGGTTACAATTTTGGACATCTATGAATTTATTGGTGTTTTTACTGCAGATTTTTTCCCAAATGGACAAAGTTTAGCATATGATCTTATCTTAAGTTTAGATGCATTCTCATAGTTCACAAGTTTTGGACATCTTATTAGATTTTTCTCAAATGAATTAAGGCGTTCTCACACAAACTCCGTGCATAGGTTACAAGTTTTGGACATCTATGAGTTGATTGGTGTTTGTACTGCAGATTTTTCCTCAAATAGATAAGGTTTAGCGAGTCAATTGATTAATAGATGCCCAAAACTTCTCACACACAAACTCCGTGCATAGGTTACAAGCTTTGGACATCTATTTGTATTGCAGATTTTTTCCCAAATGGATAATGTCAGTGAGTTAATATCTTAGCTGTAACAAAAAAAAGTGTTGTGGTACTCAACGTTGTAATACACGCTTAGCCGTGTGAAAAAATTATAAAGATAACTATGTTAATGAGTGCGTAGCCGTGATTCTTATCCTATCAGGTCGGGTCTGGCCCATTTCAGACTGATCTTGATCGGAATTAGTAGAAAACATGAATACAACCAAAAATTTTATCTTACACCAAAATATGAGAACGTCACTCAATTACTCAAGGGAAGTTAAATTTTGGTTATTTTTTTTATTATCTGTTCATATATTCACTTATACACTTTTTTTACGAATAATTATAAACCGGCCTATTTTTAAATTATTGGAGGCTGTATCTCGGCGAGGCCGCGTAGACAAAAAAATTAAACTATCACCAACTTTTCTAAATTCTCAATAACGATCGAAGCTGTGTATTGTACACTTCAAGATATTTAATCCACGCTGCCACTTCAAACAGCATGAAAACCATATTAAAACTTGAACCATACTAAACAAGGGGAGTAATCACGTTTTGTCTTTTTGACTTTTCCATGTATTCACTTTACACTTTCTACAAAGAAATCAAAGACTGGTCTATTATTATTAGCGGAGCTGATGATGTTGGCCGACAATGATTATTTAATAATAGATTAGTTAGTGAATGGAGCCGATGATGTTGGCCGTTCACTTCAATTAACGATGTCTCATATGATGAAAAAATTGCAACTGAGAGACTTGAATGAAAAAATTATATTATAAAAATTAATTGAAAAGATTAACAACACTTCATATTTTATTTAATCACTAGGTTCAAGATCTTCCCCCTCATAAATGAAAGCTTCTTGTCTACGCAATCTTGGAATAACTTGACCTAAATGTTTAATTCATTAATTTAATATAAATAAAAATAAAAATAATGCAATCTTTTGCATATTTTACCTCGGTTGTTTAATAATGCTGTAAAAATGTTTTCTCGATTCTCGAGAGTGTTAACCTGATTACTAAGATTATTGATGGTTCTTTCGTTAATCATTTGTTCATACTCGAGATCGCGACGAAGTTGTGTATTCTCTTGTCGTAGTTCTTGTATCTGAGCCAAAAATTGCCTTTTTTCATCATTAAGTTCGCTAATCATTCGAGATGCAATCCTTTGGGTGTTTTGAAGTTGGCTTATCTGTTCTCTGAAATGATCCCTTTCTTCTATGATTGTTTTTAAGGTACTCAATTTTGCTTCTAAATCTTCACCTGTTATTCCATTTTCTCTAAAAAAAGCTTCAGTTCTCCTTAATTTCCTTCGCAAAAATGCTATATGTCCTGTAAAAAATCGTACAAGATCGTCATTCGGAGTTAGGTTATCAGAGCGTGTATTTTTGCGAGTTCATGGCATGAATTTTTTTCTCTTTAAAAATGACCATACCTTACTTTACAATATATATACTCGAAATAAATAAACCAGTTTCAATTCATATATTGTAGTTCAGCATCTGAGTCACTATGTATAGATACATGTGATTTGTTCTGCTTTAGACGTCCCTTTATTATGGTTTAGCGGATGTTTGAAATTGCCGGTTTTTAGACATTAAATTTAGTATATATAAATCGTTTGTGTAACAATTATTTCTACTGCGGAATTCAACTTAACATCGTTGACTCGATAGAATTTGATATTTTATATTGATATTGTGTAATTCAAGATCTTTTGGGTTTATTTATACTATTTATAATTTCATATCACTAAAATAAGAACTTGTTCATATTATAAGATAACTAGTCAATTGATCTTCAAGAATTTTGGTTCTTTGAATTTCTTGGTTTAAAAGATTGATATGCGATTCTTTCTTACGCCGTTTAATTTCTCGCTTAAAAATTTTATATGCTCTTGTAGAGCATGGATAATTTGTCCATTAGGGTCTTGCTTTAAAAAAAAATTTCTTAATTAACACGTATTTTTGAAAAAGAAAGCCATACCAAATAAGCATTAAATTTCTAAAAGAAAAATAGAATTTGTATGAAGATAATGAAGAAAAAAATACTTTACATCTATTTTCTGTGGCTATTACTATTCCTAAAATACTTTAAAATTCATTTTCGAAACAACGAGCTTTGTCATAAAAATAATAATTCTTATGACAAATTCTAAACAAATAATTATAAAATTATAAACATCAACCAAAAAGAAATCAAAAAATCTTTCGAGCATATTTTAACATCTTCAGCAGATTCTATTTCTTCCCTCGATAGTTTTAAAAGAGCTTTCACAAAGTAAGACAATGCTTCAGCAAAATTACTTATGTAAATCTTATTAGTTTGTCAAAATAATTTCAAATCAAAATAATAAATTTAAATAATTTTAATACAAATTCAATACTAATGACATTAAAAAATCCAAAATATAAAATAAAGTAAAAGACTTACAAATATTGGATAATAACAGATGCAAATTTCAAATTATTTTAATACAAATTCGATACTAATGACATTAAAAAATCCAAAATATAAAACTCAAGTAAAAGACTTACAAATATTGGATAATAACAAACGCAAATATGGAAGATCTAATTTTACATAAAAATTAAAAGAGTGTCTAGTTTCTTT